TGGCTTTGCACCGTTAGGCTACTGCTGCCTCAGCAATCCAGCTCCCCCTGAAACAAAAGTCTCACCGGGAAAAGAGATCCCGGGGCGCGCCTGACATTTGATAAGGAAGAGCTGTGTCTGGTCGTCAGCTAGTCCGGGCAAAGTTATCTAAGGCAGTCCCATCTGGGTCGCCAAAAACTGTTGAGCCCCAGCTCAAGTCTGGGATCGTGCCCGGTATGCAAAAGCCAATAAAGATACCAGGGGTGAAAGTATAAAGATTTATTGCTAGCAATACAAGGTGCAAGCGGAATAATTTCACGTAACATGCACACAGAGTCTTAATTATGAGCATCTTTTATACAGGAGTATTGGACCTTCATAAGCATTCTTGTTTGCTAATTGGTTATAAGGGAGTGACGCAAGGAGTTCTTTACTGAGCATGTCTCTATACCTGTGTTTTAGCTATGTATCTCATTTACATACATGTATGTTTCATTAGCATACCTTCTCCCCACCTAGGGGTGTGAATCTTAATATTTAAATCAGCTCTTTGCCCTACTCCACTAATTCTGTTTTTGTTTTCAAGTCTCCTTTATCTAAGACTGTCTTCTCCTTATCATTGCAATTGAGCATTAGTTACAGAACAGAGACTTTTGCTTGGGCTATGTGTAGTGGTTTCTAGGTCAAACCTAACAAGAGGTATCACTGCAATTTAACACAGATTACATATGAGCTGCGGATACTCCTGTGATGTCATGAAGCAATAGGACATTGAAGCAAAGGCCAAGGGCTCTCTTGGTCTAGGACGGGGTTGGGGCACAGTGATATCATCTGCCAATGCCATTAGGCACAAGCCTGGCATTTCCTATGCAAATGCACTAGGACATTGACTCTTACCAAGTCATCCCAAATGATCTGCAGCTAACTTGAAACTCTATGGGCTTTGCCAGGCTGTGGAATGTGTGCACACCACCAGGCACAAAAGGTAGAGAGTGGCTACTACCTGTCCATTGGCAGAGGCTTTCTAAGGAGACTGCTGGTCATTGCCTCTATATGGAATCCAGCAAGAACAGAGACGACTTCCAGCAGGAAGCCTCTCACAGACCTTTCCTGGACTTTCAGCATCCGGATAAAAATCGTGCCCAGGATGTCTGGCACCTGGAGGGAAGAAAACAAGAACAAGGGTCCCTTTTTCATTCAGCCAGCACAATCCAAACCAATCCCTCCCACAGTTTGGCAATTTGCTGCCATCTTAGAAATTTTTTGCTTTAAGGAACCAAAGTCCAGACACTGCTGCCTCCGGCTGATCCTAAGAAGTGAGCACGTCCCTATGCCCCTACTTGGGGTGAAAGTAGACACTGTGACATATGTGCAGACACCAACCACCCTACACACCCTCAGCCATTCCCCCGCCTATGTGCACATCTACAATGTAATTGTTGCCTGGGGCCTATTTCTGCCTGATATTAACCCACGTGCTCACACAATCACCCCAACAAATATCAATATCTGGGGGTGGTTTTAAGAAGCTATTTTTGGCCTCTTGCCCATGTGGATGCTCAACTCAGAACCAACAAGCACCACCAACTTCAGAGCCCTTGTGAGAATCCCTGGGACTATGAGCAAGATGACTGTAATTGTAATTTTTTTCAGGTGAGCCCAGCTCTTCTGGAACTGCACACTGGAATTCACACTCCTCATTTCTAACTACACCTCCCCATTATGCACACAGCCAGGCCTGCAGGGCAGTAGGTCCAGCTGCCCATAGCCAGTCCCATCCAGAACAGAGAGGGCGGGGGAGGCTGCAGTATTTCTGGCATCCATTCTTTCCTGCATCCTGTTCCCAACCCCATGCAGAGGAGCAGGATGGAAGGAGCATTTCACATAGCCTCTACCAAGGCTGGGAAATGCCTGAGGACACAGAACTATCTCTAGCTCCTGCCTTGCTGTGGACCCTCTGCATGGTGTGGCACTGAGGGAAGCGTGCATCCATTCCTCATGCCTAAGCATGTAGTTCCAGTCCGGTCACAGCTGGGTACCTCAGACTCCTTGTTGCCCTCTCATGCTGTATTTTCCCCAGAGTCTGTTTCCAAAACTTCCAAGGCTGAAAGCTCTTATCAATAAACTGGGTCACTGAATCCCTATCTTGCCTTCCTGTGCTTTCTCTCTTGGATGCAGCTGAACTGTTCTTCCCCATCTCTGGCTAGCAAGGGAAATGGAACTTGCTTCGTGTCAGGGATCAACAGTAAGTTTGCTGTTCACTGCTCATGAAAGCAGTGTTTGAAAAGAATAAAGCAAATGCAGAAAGCCTCCTCAGCTTCAATTTTACCTCATCCAGAAGGGCATCTCCATGCTCTCTAAGGCTTGTAATAAACCAATGTCCTGCTGCTGTGGCACATGTGAGGCTGGCAGACAGCATGCCATCCCTTATGCTCCCCACAAAGTCAAGGGCCTGGTAGGATGGAAAGTATTTCCTGGAGGAGTCAGCTGATCCTGAAGCTGCAGCAGCAGGTGGCCAGTTATGTCTGCTCCTCCCCAGAGAAGGTGCATACTCTTGGCAATGGCTGGGTTTCTGCAGCTGTTTCATGGTGCTATGGCAGGAAGGATGCAGAGAGTTTCTCTTCAGAGTTTGTGCTTTTCCTTTCTATTTTCTTGATGAAAGGCATTGTCTTTGGTTCTCTGCTCTCTTCACTGGCCCAAAGGGAGCTGCTCAGAGGGACTCTTTCTCTGCCTTTAGCTGCCATTTCCCTGCAGAGAGTGGGGCTAGTTATTGGGTGCATGGGTGCTGGGGCTGGACTCTCTTGGTCCTTCCTAGGGACGGGTGTGTTTCTGGACTGTTCTTGTCCTGACCAGCAGGCTGCTGTGTTCCCAGATCTGAGATGCTCTTGAGTTTCCCATTGGGGAGAGGGACCTGAAAATCATAGGCCACCTCCAAGATCTGGCTCAGACTCTGCAACAGAAGGTGACAATCAAAGGGAGGACTAGAGAGGAGAACCATGGAGTGAGCAAGAGCAGAAAATTAGTGAGTTAGAAAAAATACCTCACTACCCCATGCTTAGTGTTTTACTGCTTTGGTGCTGGAAGTTTCCATGTCTGCAATGCTGACCACACCACACTGTGCTGTTTCAGCCCCTGTCCAGCACCCTGAATACACCCTGCCTGGATTACCACTCTCTGGAAATTTATATTCCTTCCAAAGGATGCCAGGAGGAGAGTGGGTCGCACAGCCCACAGGTGTCATAGGCTCAAAAGGTGACCGCAAAGTCAGAACCAGTCAGCATCTGCCCACACAGCCCCAGGGACACAGGACAAGGGAACACAGAGCTGAAGTGGGATTCTCCCCTCAGATAAACCTGTGCTGCCTCAGGGAGCTGCCCAGGTGCAAACAAAGACAGAGTGCAGCCTGTCTCACCCAGGACAGAGACACCCCACAGGCAGTGGGGTAGTAGCCATCCACTTCTATAACCCATAGCAGGGAACCCCAAATCTCTATGTTTTTAACTGCCAGGCCCTCACCATAATCCCTGCACTCCATAAGAGACAATCTCCAATCCTCCCTACCCCATGGAGCTTTGAGAGGCCAAACCCAGAGGGAGCAGAGTGAAACTCAGCTGGCAGGAGCAGTCCGGTAGTTCTTTTTTTTTTTTTTGTCTCCCCTTATCAGACTTTCCAGAAAATGGAAGTGGCATTCCCAACACAGCCATGTGAGCTTAGCCCCCAAGGGTAGACAAGGCCAATCCATTAAGGAGTCTTGAACTGCACCAGGAAAGACCCAAGAGAGCTACAGAGTTCCTAGGGCAAGTCGTACACGCACACATGTGTGCCAGTGCACACACCCACACATACAGACAAGGGCTAATGATGGGTTTCCCAGGCAAAGTCTCACCATGGTGACATGAAGATTGTTGAGCTGTCCCTCGTACTGCTGCAGGAGACAGGGGAGCCTCTCAAAAACAGTATCATGATGCCTCTCATGGTGGAGAAGGAGGCCCATTGCAGGCCCCAGCACCTTGACCGCATCCTGCTGCAACTGCAGAAAAGGAAGGCAGGACTGAGTCTCTCTGACAGACTTCCTGGGAGGTTGCTCTGGATCAGGAAAAGGTACAGCTTTTCTCCTCAGGTCAACAGCATCCTTGATGCATCATTGGACCAGCCCTGTCTGCATGGTTCCCACCTATGGCAGCTGGGAGAGGCTGTGGGATATGTCCTTGGGGCTGGCTCATGGATCACATCTCCCTGCTGTGCTGATGTGCCCAGATTGATGTGCAGAGAGAGGGAATTCCTCCTTGCTGCCATCCCCCTGGGCACCACAGGAGTCATGCCCAGAAGGAGATGCCCCCTATCCCAGTGCTCACTGGCACCCATTAGCACACACAACTGCACACTGCCTGCGGGCAGAGCAGATTCTCAGGCACATGATATGAGCCCCTGAGACTGAATCTTCTCTGCCAGGACTGCACACACAGGCAGACATAGTGACACGTGACAGCTGTGGTACAGAGCTAGAAAGACAGCAGCTCTCACCTCTGGGTCCTTGCTGCTCAGCCAGCTGCTGCTCATGAGATTAAAGAAAGGGAGCACATGGAAACAGTAGTCAGCTGCCCGACAGCTGGGGAATGGGCTCTTATCCCTGATCTGGAATTTCACATTGGCACCCCAGGCAAAGCCTCCCACAACTGCAGAGGGGGAGAAAAGACAAGATGTTTGCACAGGAATATTGGACTGAAGAGGTGATGCTGCAGCAGCAGGACATACAGGCCTGGTGGTCATGACAAAGTCCCAGCAGCCCCCATGATGCTCGGGGCAGATGGAGAATTTGGGACAGGTGGAGCAGGCACCAGGGGCTACAGCAAGGATTAAATCTACTCCATTTGCCCCAGAGCCTAGAGGCAGCTCCTGCCTTTTTGATGGTTCTTGGGAAATACTCTGCAAGAGTCATGAAAGGCCCAATCCTGCCCACTGCTCAGAGCCTCCAGCCAGCTCAGGGAGGGAGGGTTCTCCACTCATTGTTGGATTGGGCCCAGGAAGTGCAGTGGAGGCTCTGCTTACCAGTGTGGGACACTCCAGTGGGGCCCAGGCTCTGTGTTAGGTCATGGGTGCCTAATGGGGGCACCTGCAGGAGGGGCTGGCACTCACCTCCACACAGCACCTACTTCATCTGGTTGGTCTCCACCAACCTCAGCACAAAATGCTATTTGCTGAGCGTCAGCACAAGGAAGGGCTCAGACCTCAGTGCTGCAGGAGGCAGATACATCATGACGAGGAACAATGGTCATAAGCTGATGGAGAATAGGTTTAGGTTGGAGATCAGAAGGCAATATTTTACAGTTAGGGTGGCCAAAATCTGGAACAAACTTCCCAGGGAAGTGGTCCTTGCCCCTACCTTGGGCATATTCAAGAGGAAGTTGGACAATCACCTGTCTGGGGTCTTGTGAACCCAGCATTCATTCCTGCCTGTGGCAAGGGGTCAGGCTAGATGATCTGTTCAGGTCCCTCCTGACCCTAGCTACTATGAAACTATGAAACAATGAAACAATGAAACATGCAGTTAGAGACATTCCTGTCTACCTTCATCCCTCACTTTCAGGAACATGCTGGGTGATCTGCACAAAGGGGCTTTGAAGATGTCAGAGAAACCCCACAGTGACCTCCCCTGTCTAGGGCAAATCTCTGTCTATTGCCCCTCCCATGCCCAGATGCAGGGGAGGAGGAGGGAGTGGAGGGTCCTGCCCACCTGATCTCCACTCCTTCTTGTCCTGAAGGCCCTTCCAGCTGTTACAGAAGTTAGTGCTGGCACCTTAGAGCCAGGAGCCAGACTCTTCAGGCCCCAAACCCAGCTCAGTTGTGATAGCCCCATTGGACAGAGTGGTATTTATCCCCTCCCTCCACAATCTCTGATCAGAGTCTTGAAGCAAGGGAAATAATGCTGTACCATAGTCTGAGGCCAGGTCGCCCAGTGTAATCAAGAAGAAAACTGGAGAGAGCTCCATGATGCCCATGTGACTCTGTAGCTTGTACATCACCCAATTGTAAAAGGTGCTGGCAAGTGCCACAAGAGTTTTTCCTGCAGTCAACTGCAGTTCATCATTTTCTTGCTAGAATAAGAAAAGAGAACTGGAGCAGACACCCAATGCACAGTTTATACAGTGGTAAGTCAGGCTGGGGACCAAGTTGCATCCTCTGAAAGGGAGGGAGAAGGATGCACTAGCCTCAGCTTCTCCAGTGTCCCAGTGTTTGGCCACTTCCTTAAGTCCATTGCATCCTTGGGTAACCCTTGGCTCCAAGCAAACTGTCTCCCCCACCACCTAGCAGCCATACACTCTAATAGCTGTTCCTGAATTCACTAAGTCCCCCTAATAATTCCTTGCATGAGATCCCTCACTCATAAATGCCAACTGAAACACTTGGATGAACAATATTTCGTTTCTGGTTGGCCGACCAACTGCATAATTCACCTGTGCTATAGGACAGCTTCAGCATGGACCAGGAAACTTCTTGGACAACGCTGTCCCCAGAAAAGCATCTATGCCCTCTGGTCTTTCTTAGCAGAGGAGCTGCCCCATGTCTCAGAGGCACTAAACACTGGGCTGGATTGTGTCCATGCTCTCCAGAAACATCTGGAGGACATCTGTCTTGAGCAAGGCTGCAGCCTCTAACCAGGGTCCATGTAGGAGACGCACCATAGGCTCAAGCTACATTGGACCAAACAAACTAGGCATAGACTAAGGCTTTTTTAGGAGAAACTGGGCAGAGCTCACTCACCTGGGTCTCCCTCATGTCTTTGGAGGCCAAGTGGATTATCCTCCTGACAAGACTCCTATCCAGGCCCTTTGTGTCCCCCTGCAAGACTTTCTCTAAGCTGGAGTAAATGGTTACTCTTGTTTCCCAAGAACAAGAACAATGGGTTTCCTTTGGACCAGTGGCAGATCATCCAGGACTGTGATGTTAGACATTAGGTACCCAGGGATTGTTCTACAGCCACTCTAAGGGGGAACTTGCTCCCTGGACAGGAACGCAACCCAGGGTGTCTTGGGTTTGTACTTTCATGCAGTTGTTCACAGCTGGCACTGACAAGGGAGGAGTGCCAGGCACCGTGAGGGCACAATGTAACAGAATGGCAGGAGGCACAGAAATACGATCAGAAGTCAAATACATCACAGGCATTGTCACCCCAGTGTGCTGCGGAAGTGGTAGTGACCGACACATTTCCTTCAGAGAGGGGGTTACTGGGGGAGTAACAAGGAGCTGCTTAAAACCCTTGGCTGTATTCCCAGTTCTTTTCCTGACTTGCTGGGGGACAGTGGGCAAGTCACTTCACTTCCAGGGTCACAAGGCTGAGGCTTTCCAGGCTCACAAGGCTGCTGGGAAATGATATTTCATATCTCAGTGCTGTGACATACTTGGAGGAAGATGCTAAAGAGGCTCACAGTATTATCCACAGTGTGAGGGCTTGTTTGAATATGGCTGATACCATATCTACCCTCCATGGGGGAGGGGGAGATGAGGCCCATGTGAGCATGCCCTGATATCACAGTGACATCACAATATAACAAGGGCATGTAATATTGTGACCTTTAATAGGAGAGAAGGAATGGAAAAGACACAGCAGATGGGCAACCAGTTTGAGTTGAGGTCCCACCCTGCACAGCCTTGAAAGGAAATGTTTAGAGCAACCATGTGATACAGAGCCATTGCCCTACCTTCTCCTGTTGGAGTCTCTCTAGCAAAAGGCTCACAGTAATGTCAGGTTCCACGTCTGCCTAGCCAAACCCTGGGCCAAGATTGCCCTGAGCTTGGTCCATCAGGCATCTCATTGCAAAGACATCACTGGTGGAAAAACCTGCAATGGAAGAAAAGGTTTCTATTGATTTCCATGTGAGCAATTTCATAGACTTTAGGGCTGGAAGGGACTTCGGAAGATCATCGAGTCCAGCCCCCTGCCCAAGGGGCAGGAAGTCAGCTGGGGTCATAGGATCCCAGCAAGATAAGCATCCACATTTCTCTTTGTGTGGGCTGGGAGCGGTCCGAGGCCCTCGGGAGCGCAGTGGGCTGTGGCCAGCAGCCCGGACACGCCGGGTCGGGGAATGCAGGCCGGTGGGCTAGAATTAGGCACGGACGCTTAGCGGTTGATTAAAGATTATTTTACTTACACCGAAGATGGTCGCGGTGCAGGCAGGAAAACTTGCTTGGGTCGCGGTTACAGACAGAAAAGAAAAGAGGCGGACAAGAGTTCCTTCCACACGAACCTCTAGCCCAATCCGGTTGAAGGCTCTAAACACGCGAGCCTGTCGCGTCAACCAAAGAAAACAACTCGAAGCAGAGCACTCTGGATACACTCACACGAAGTTTGCTAGGCTCCGTGGAACTTGCGCGCAGGGAAGGGGTTCGTCGAGGGATCGTTCAGCGATGGGGAGAGGCCAGAGGTTGATCAGACCCCTGAGCCTTCACTGGGTTCGATAGGCTCCGCAGTGCTTAGAGATCTTCATGAGACATGAAGTTCTCCTCCTCCAGATGGTTGTGGAGTCCTCCTTTGCGGGGTTCTCCTCGGAGTTCTCCAGCTTGGGCGGAAACCGCTCAAGCCTCTTATACGGCTAGCAAGCCAATCACTAGCCGCCACGG